CTGGATGTTAAACTTAATTGTTACACCTGGTAAAGCAGCAACGCTGATCATTGTATTAAAGATGAAAGATTTTAGAGAGTTTTTAAGTCAGTTATGCTGCAGTGTTTGTTTGACTTTGGGACCTGAAACAGATGGAGTTTTGGACCAGATTACTCTGCAAGGCTCCTGACTATGGTAGCCATAATGCTCCGACAATCCATCAAGCGGTGCGGCTTCGTAGCTTTTTTTGACAGATTTTTCAGCGCCATGTACCACATAAAATCACTTTGAGGTCAGTAAGCACAACCACAATTCATACATAAAGCGCACCGGATTATAATGGTGCCTTCACACCGAATGCGAACAAGTAGCGTGACTGACGCGTTTGAAGCGCAAATAAAAATTCACGCGGCAGTTTGTGTGATGCATTTTGTGCATTCGCGCGTATCGCGTCTACCGCTCGAGTTCTGAACCCCAGCGTCAAGTCGCACCGCGACAACCAATCAGGAGCCTGGTGATGTGATGCTTTGACCTAGTTCAAAGGGGCAGGTCCAGCCAAAGCTCCTTCTCTTCCACTTTAAGCTGGGTCGTTTTTATTCCTGTCACTCTATAGTTATATTTTATATATTTATGTTTAATGTTTTTCTGTTTGAGAATTTTAATATTATTTCAAAGAAATCTTTGTAATGACTTATGTCTTAGTTCTACTACACAGCAAATATTGGCACACAACTTGACACATGTAGAATTTATTTCAAATTATACTAATGAAAAAATATACTACTATACAGGAACATAGTGATAACTAGGGATGGGTCCGGTGCCATTATGGCAAACACCGTCGTAGCAAACACCGTCGTAGTTACATACGGCTGTCTTCTTGTTTGATGGCAGATACTCCCTTTACCCTGGCCAAAAAGGCTAAAATGACCAAAGAAAAAGTGGAAAACAGCTAAACATGAGAGGTTTTTGGACAAAGTTTGTGTTTTCCATTCTTTAAGCACCAGTTCGAGCACCGTTTAAGCACCGGCACCGTTTCAAAAGTACCAGTTTGGCACCGGTATCGGATAAAACCTAAACGATACCCATCCCTAGTGAAGACCAATTATTTAAGAGAATAAAGACAGGTTAGTCTATTTCGGAGGCAAGCTCCATTTATTAAGAAAATTTAAAAAAGGCAGGAACGCTCTTTAGAGTTTTGTGGGTGGCTCTTAAAAGAGCCATTGTGGGGAAGTCACTGGGACTTCAAATAGGCTATTCTTTTGGCTGCCAAGACACTGCTCCCTCCGCTGGAGGGGGCAATGAGGTAAGTGACGGAAGTGATGGACAAGGTAAGCGACTCATGTTGTAACTGACGTCAGACGCCGGAGATTTTAGCGGAAAAAATTAAAGCGAATGGTAGCTTAGAATTGAGCAAATTTCTTCAAGCTTCAATTTTACCAAATACACTTATCAATTGTCTTATAACTAACAACATTTGTCTAAATCATCTCTTACACCCTGGAGAACAACGGGGAGAGTTTAGAGGCTCTCCAAGATTACATCGATCAGTGCTTCCAGGATCTCGGGAATTTAAATCCTTGTGAGAATCCCTGGAGTTCAACCAGCAGCAGTTGGAAATGCTCGCTGCTGAAAATGCCACGGTAAGGGAGTCGGTGAAATGTCTCACTTGAAAATAAAAGAGACAGTTATTGATCTACAAGCTCGTGGCATGCAAGATAATTGTATTTTCTGGTATTCCAGAATCCGCTGGAGAAGACGTGGAAACTACGG